AGTCCAAATAGCACAAAAAATATTCAAAAGGGTCTCTAAACATGATTCCGGTAAATGCTTCTGAAGTTGATAATGGATGTTATCAGCTCCTGTAGCAGTATCGTGGGCCTGGTCAAGAGCAGTATGGAGCCCATGAATCGAAAACACCTCATTATAATCTTCCCCATTATCTGAAGAAAAATTAATAGGTTTCTTTTCTTGCTGTTTTTATACTTTTGGAATTGAGGTACATAATTTACCTTTCTTGTAAATATCCACTTTTAATGGAAATTATTGAAATGTATAATGATCTTGCTACTGGCCAATGCGACATCGTCTTTTGTTGGTTACCAAGCCATGTTAGCATTTCTGGGAACACAATGGCCGATCTTGCTGCTAAGGCAGCACTCAACAAATCTGTGACACCACTTCTTATTCTATACTCTGATTACAAAGCCAGCATTAGAACCTACATCCGTGATCTGATGCAGAAGAAGTGGGACACCCAAGTTGGTATCAATAAATTACATGTAATAAAACGTTATATTGGTTACACCTACTCGGGTTGTCAGTCCAGATTTGAAAAGGTCATCATGCGACGATGTCGTATTGGTCACACAAGATATACTCATGAATACCTATTGAAAGGTGAGGATCCTCCGTTTTGCATCCCTTGTGATGAAAGAATCACGGTCAAGCATGTCTATTCCATCACAAGGGATAACTATTTTAAATCACGAACTATGAAGGATCTTTTTAATAGTATCAGTTCTCATTTAATTATTGCATTTTTAAAAGAAATAGATTTGTTAAATGATTTGTAAATACATAAATATTTTATGATTGGAAGTTTGAATTAGTTACTAAGATTGTTAGTGGCTGTATCCTCGAGGGGGGTTAAAGTACTGTAAAATTATTGTCCTCCTGAGAGGGTACGTAAGTCCAAAAAAATTCAAGGTAAATTCAAACCTTCCTTTTTTTACTCGTAGAATATGTGTAATTTTAATGTATGGCTAGATGTATCTAAATTGCTGACAGTTGAAAGGATGATGTAAATCCAGCTAGGGTCCATGCAGGAAGCAAATGTACTGTAAGTCCCTATGGTCCCTAGTATGGTGATCTACCTTCAGTTGTTGGCAAGCCATAGCCGGTTTTTATATTGTATTGTCATTTATAGGTAAAATATTTTAGATTTAATTACTAGTCTTAAATTTATTCCTGTGATAATCTAGTTGTTTTACTGTCCTTCGTCGACAGGTGTTTTATAATGTAATTGTGTTTATTGTTAATTTATAACTTTTTAAGTCTCACTATGGCTGAAATATTGCCGATGGGACTATAAATTTTAACTCACTCACTCACTCATTGGCATCTTACTAAGGCAATGTACATTTGATCAAACAACTTTTGAGGCTGAGCCCACGGAGGCTTTATGAAACCTTCATGGAAAGGGCATGCTTGATTCAAATTTTGTCGAATACAAACAGGAAAATAACATTTATTAATAAAGATGACTGCACCAGACAATCAAGTGATTGATATTATGAGTAACGATCAACACCGTAGAGAGACGGTGACATACAATCAACCACACTGAGCCTGACAACCCTACACATTTGATCGTCTCCCAACGTGCTGTCGACCATTAAACAACCTCCATTCATAATCATTCTCACTTGTCCAACTGGACTTTGAGAAATGAGTTTCGGACAGGAGCACATTTCTGCAATTATCGAAATGTTTCACATCAGCCAAACCAAGTCATGGAGAATAGGATAGACAGAAGCATTTTGTAATTATTAGTTGATTAGCATATAATGTACCAAGAGACGTTGAGCCTGGCTGTATGTCCACAGGTCTCGACACAACCCACTTAGACCAGATCACATGGAAGTAGCTCCCGATTTTTCGGGTCCACTCGGATTATTCCGTTAGCTTCATCATATACCGGGGCGGTGGGGTAGCCTAATGGTCAAAGCGTTCGCTCGTCACGCCGAAGACCCGGGTTCGAATCCCCACATGGGTACAATGTGTGAAGCCCATTTCTGGTGTCCCCCGCCGTGATGTTGCTGGAATATTGCTAAAAGCGGCGTAAAACCATACCCAGTCAGTCAGTCATCATATACCAGACAGAAATGATATAGTGATGTATGATTTGACTGTAAACCACATGCCAACGAATTCCTCCAAATATGTTTCTTACAGATGGATTGAACGTCATGTCGGGCTGAATCTTTTACCACGTGGCCAGCTCACCGTTCGTGCCCACTAATGCACTTTGAAAGCAGTAAAAATCTTAATATACTGAGTCAAAAAAGAAACTTCACAAAATGTAATTTGAAAAATAATGAATAATTTTTTTCTGATGATACATCTATGTATCCGAAATGGGATTCCTATCTTTCGACTCTAGAAAAACGTTAGCAAAACCCACTCAAACCCATCCATTCGTTGTGCAAATGATGTTAGTGCCAAATCAGGTTTTGCACGTGCAGTCGATCACGTGATCTTCGCATCGAAGTTTTCTTCATATGCACGTGTTTGCATTGGCCTCAAGAATTGAAAAAAGCACATTTAAACCACAGTTCTAACGGTACTTGAAATGCCACGATTGTCAAATGTGCAACGTGAATGTGCCGCTGGCATGTTGCAAGCGGGAAGATCAGTTATTGACGTCGCAAGAGCAATGGGATGCAGCCGTCATACTGTGTATGACTTGCGAGGTCGTCTACAACAAACTGGCACAACTTCTGATCGCCCAAGGTCGGGTCGTCCACGTGTGCCATCATGAGCAGAAAACCGTCAAATCGTCCTACGTCACCTACGTGAGAGATTTCTGCCGCCTACACGAACCAGGGCTGAGATGTTTAGAGGTCGACTGTCCTCACAGACCATTCGAAATCGGTTGCGGGCTGCCAATCTCCATTCTCGACGTCCATATTGTGGGCCAATATTGACGCCGTTTCATCAACGTCAACGTCTGCTGTGGGCCCAATGTCACCTCCGATGGACCCAGAGAGACTGGAATCAATCGTCTTTAGCGATGAATCCAGGTTTACCCTCAGATTCACTGTCAGCAGGCATAGAGTCTGGAGACGATGTCGTGAACGGTATGCCCAATGTTTTGTACAGGAAGTAGACAGATTCGGGGGCGGAAGTTGCATGGTGTGGGGTGCTTTCTGTGGGAACAACCGTTCCCAACTTCTGGTCATCCGTGGAAACCTCACAGCTGCTGCTTACCGCGACCAGGTGCTCACCCCTGAACTCGTTCCTTTCATGGCGGCTCATGACCATGGTCTACAGTTCCAGCATGATAATGCTCGGCCGCATACCGCGATGTTGACACGAAATTTCCTTCAAAACGCTGGAATCAACATCGTGGACTGGTCATCGAGGTCCCCTGACCTTAATCCAATAGAGCACGTTTGGGATGCACTTGGGAGAAGGCTTCGTGGTCTTAGGAACCAACCTCAGAATTTGCAGGAACTTGGCGCTGCCTTGCAAGAGCAATGGCGCCGAATCCCCAACCACGTGTTCACAAGCATCAGGCAGTTGATGAGGAGACGGTGTTTGGCAGTGGAGAATGCGCAGGGCGGTCATACACGATATTGAACTGAGAAATTTCGCATTTTTATTCTTGTGACTTCACATTCTGTATACCCATGTTTTGGAACGGGGGTGTAGCCTAATGGAACTGATTATGGCACTGTCGGTGTATCGAGTAGATCACACAGATCTCACCAATGAAATAATAACAATTTAACCATCTTACCATCTCTTGTTCCTTTATAGTGCCCTGTGGAAAGAATGTGAAGTTTCTTTTTTGACTCAGTATATATTTGAGGCTGATAAGGTTTAGATTATCGTACACGTACATATTCGAGACAAGAAACGAATTTTTTTGTATAACACGAAGCCCTTCGAGGCTTACTAAGGGTGTCGATACAACAACGTTGGTGATTGTGTCTGTCGAACCAGCGTATTGTCAACCCAACCAAAAGTGTTCATTGTGACCCACGAGCGTCTGCGAGATAGACTTCTATTACGAGCTTGGTGTGTGATTTCATAGTCAAATTTGAATCGAAAAGATCACGTTGGTAATCGGGTACGTCAAACTGTAAATATGAAGCCACGTCATTTGAAGCTCACATGTTGCCTGTGTGACCTGGTATTCATAAAACTTGTATATCAAAACCTGGAGTGAAAGACGTGAGAAGGATCCCGTTGTTAGTAATTTCCGACACGTAACCATTGTTTTTAAAAGATATGTGGGGTGAGGTGAGGGTCATGACGATCAACCAGTTAGGCTCTTAGAAGTCTACTAGTGACACCCGCTCATACAAGTTTTCTTTTAAGTGCATGACGTACAAGGTGTTTTCCTCACCAGGCAGATCGAATCCCTCCATATCCCCGAGATCGCCGGGCGTGGATGATGGTTCATCATACATATATGTTAAGAAATGGTTTTTAATTGGTTTTCGGATAATTGCTCGGACGTGCACTTCAAACCCATAAGATGTATATTGTCGGGTAGGAAAGTTTTAGTGAGCAATATCGTGTCTTCCACGGTCATGGTGACTCCCTGCAGTCTGGTGTAGGCATTCACGTTCACCCGCACGTAAACGGAGCAAACTTGGTATTGTTGTTGTCTGGCCCAGAGGAGTTCGATCCCTTTCACGATTTCGACGACGTCACACGCTGAAGGCAGTTCGCAGAGGTAAACTTGGATGTACAGCATGGAATTTTCTCGGCAGATTTTCCAGGATGTCAACCACGCTGTCGAATTCCGACACCATCGCCAATCCCATGTTTTGCATCCCAGGTTTACTCAATAGCGTGTGCGCTACTTTTTCCGTCGGCACACTGATCATCACGCTGCGTCTTTGAATCGGGACCTAAGCCACGAGCAGCATTCCGTTGTTCACGACTTTCGTCAGATAGTGATTTTTGTTGTCCGTGAAAATGTGGGGAGAGCCGAGCGTGATGTTAATATTCCAGTTGATTTTGGATGGCACTACTACAAACTTGTTCTCGTCCTTGAAGATGAGAGTGTACTGCGTGTTTCTGGAGATGGCCGTGGTCTCGGCGTCGTCCAGGTGGAATAGCCTTCCCTGGAACGCTTGGGTTATCGTCCTCGTTGTTGCGGACCAGGTCGTAGCGCGTGTTGTTGACCAATCCCTCTGTGTCGATGGAATCGCCTAGGTCGTTCTTACTACTGGCGGCAGTAAGGGGCAGTTTGATGTGTTTGTAAATGTTGTTTTTCAGTTGCAAGGCATACAGTTTGTTGTAGACTCCGCACTTGTCCCCGAGGTCGGAGATCGCTATGTTGGCGCATTTTATAATGCGTGTTCCTTGAGACTTGGTCATTGTCATATGTGCAGCATCGCGCTGAGATATCCTTTACTTATGGGATCGTGTTTAATGTCTAAAACTGATATTTTCAAATTCTATGATGGCGATTCGGTTCTGCCGTCATTTTCCGTTTTCACCGGCATGGCTCCCAGCAGCGTGGAAGGTCTATTTCTTTTTGCAGATGATGTCATTCTTATATCTGACGTAGCTTTGGGACTACAAAAACAATTGAATATTTTAGAATCATATTCTGATAAATGGGGACTTGAAGTTAACCTCGATAAAACCAATATTGTTGTTTTTAGAAGGGGTGGGCGATTATCAGCCAAAGAAATATGTTATTATATAGACTCTGTTATTGATGTTGTGAATTCATATAGATGAATAGGGTTGTGCGCCGCCGTAAACTAGCAGGTTTAATTTGTTGCGGATCAGTTGATTACCACCATGGCGCCTGGCTAGTGTTGACAGGTCGAGCTGTTTTATCGTGTGTTCGTTCATGAGATCGACCTCCGGATGGGCTTTCAATCACAGCGGCCCTTGTTGTCAATTTCAAACTTGAAATAGTCACGCCTCAGTGGTTCAGTCTGCTTTAAAAGTTCGTTGCCCAAGGTGTCCCCCATGAACGAGGTGTCCGCTGCATCGTCATCTTCCAGCAGAGGCTGGCTGTCGAAACCTATGTTTCTATATTTTCAATATAAACAATGTTGCAATACAGACGAAAGCTAGATCCTTTCCGAAGATTGGAGAGCCACTCAGCATCAAAGCCATGTGTCAGTCAGTGACCATCACCAACAATCCGAGCACGATCGATCAAAACCAAACGCTGCTGCTGATTCCCCAACCGGGGCGCGAATGACATCATCGTCCCAGCACGGCTCGACTGGCTTTTCAGATCACTTTGAAGCGGACGAACGACGAACGCACGATCGTGCGCAACCTGGGTCGCGCCATCGTCAAGAAAACCACCTTCAAAATCAGCAGGAATGAGGTTCTGAGCATCAACGACAGCGATGTGTTTTTCACTTACATGGACCTCTGGAAAACCGCGAGCGAACACAATGACATGTTGTATCAAGGCCTTTGTTAAGCTCACTGCCTTGCGAACGCCCTACATGTGGGAAAAGCTTTCATGCAAGCCGTGCTCCATTCAATACCAGCAGATGAAAAAGCTATCGCAATGGCGTACCGGAACAGGTTTTACATACTGCTCGACTTAGAGTTGCTCGAGGGGCACATGCCATATTACCAGGCCACGCTTGGCGACAGGCTGGAACATGAACTCACATTCAATGACTATGGCAAAGTCATTGGTACTCCAAACGGCGAAGCCGGCAGCTACATCGTCGACAACATCTCTCTGAAGTTCGACATAGTCACGAGGCCGGAGCTGGCCCGGCAGATTCGTAACCAGTACTCGGGAAAGCTGTCCATCCTGCACGATTGCGTGCTGCAGTACCGGACGATCGTCAAGGACAAGAGCGACACGTTGTGGAACATAAACATGCATGTGCCGGCCCGATCGATGAAAGGCATCTGGATCATTCCCATGTTGCAATACAAGCCGTTTGGAAGACGAAGCGATCACACTTGCAATCCCGAGATCACGAAAATGGAAGTGACTGTCCAGGGCGTTGCCAACCAGCTGTTCAGCCAAGGCATGCGAGCTCACCAGCAGTGGGACGAAATATAAAAACTACCGGCCATCAAATTGAACGTGACGGAAGTCAACGATGTAGCCAAAGAACTGCGTTTATCCAACGTAATGCTCGGTAAGTACCTGGTAGACCATTACGCGCTGTAGCTGGACATGCAATCCACGGACAATGGTCGGTTGCACAGCAGCCACATCGACAACGGAAGCAAGGGGATCACCATCCAAATCACCAAAAAAGCTCAAGCCAAGGGCAAATTAAATTTATATTTGTACGTGATTATGGAAGCACAACTCAATATAAGATGGAAGATTCGTGCCAGCCATATATTGATTTACATCGTGATCCGCACTGCGCCATCGTGTGTGGTCAGAATGGGTGCGGCAAGATGGCATTCGTGCTGGACATGCTGGAAGTGTACTATCGTGCACGGAGAGACCGTGGATGATGATGGACCCAGACGTGCACAAAATCGATCTGGGAACGCGCCTTCAGGACTGGTTGCACGCTTACCACGACACGTTTAAAGGAGAATCGACGCTGCTCTTCCTGGATGACTGCAGCGCCAACAAGGAAATCGTGAAAAAAAGAGCAACTGCTTAGCAACTGCTTAGCAAAATGCTTGAAAATATTTTTTATCAGTGTGAAAAATTACACCAAAAAAACTATATTAAAACTATGGCGAGTTTTGTTGAAATTCTCGTCGTTTGTAATTTGACTTTCATCTCGTTGTATTTCACGTGCGTCGGATTTTAGTTATTTAGATTTAAAAATCGTTTGTTAAATTATAAGATGGAGTGCAACGAACTGCTCCAACAAATGATGATCGATAATGATGATAATAATAAGCGAGAGAGAATGGTGGCGCTTGCGGTCGGTGGCAAAGCCAAACAATACTTGGGCGGGGACCATACTCCCGATAAAATTCATAAAATGCCCGCCGAAGAAATTGATAAGCTGTACGCGAGATACGAGTCCAGACTCGGCACCGAAATGCCGAAAATCATAGGTTCCGCCATGGCTCAGATATATAACGGCATAGCATCGTACTTCCTTCCCATTTACCTGTAGGAAGCTCTCGAGGAAGATCCGTTCATCGATCACGCTTTGAGCGCCGTCAGCTGCGTGCTGTACCACAGATATGGCATGTATTTGGCTCCAGTAACAGGAAAGCATTGTCAATTTAAAGAAGAAAAAAACTAATAATATACAACATAGATGTTGCCCCGCAACAGGAGGAAACGACGACGCCACCGGAAGCAACGACACCAATACGGCTAGTCACCAAGAATCCTCAAAAAGTTGCCACCGGTAGAAAAGGTGGTTTAGCCAAGCACCACAAAAATAATACCAATTATACTCCGTTGATTGCAGATGCTGCTGCAGTGGTAACGGCATTAAGCGTGGTCGCCGTTATGCTATATAATAACAAGCAGCAACCCCAACCAAAACCAATGCAGCAACAGACGCCAAAATAACAATTAGAAGTAAATCCGCATATTATGTTATAAATATAAAAAAATATATATTTTATATACACACACGATGTCTGAAGGAAAAACATTCGCCACTGATGCATATCAAGGTTACGCTCGTTTGACGAAAATTGTTCTCAAACAACCGATGATCGAACTGGATTTCATCGTGCAGGACATGGGCATGCTCGTCATGGACTTTGTCCTTGGTGGCCATCGCCATCGCTTTCTCGTGAAACAAGGAATTATACCAAAAAAATGTTATAAAGTAAAGGCTGAAGTGGAAGCGGAATGTAAACATCACGATTTGGCCACGTAGAAACTGCAGGCTGCTCAAACCGAGTACGCCAAAAAACGCGTGCAGAGAATCGATTTCATCCACGACCAACTCATCTACGACGCCATGCAAGAATACTACCTGCTCACATGAAAACGACTCGAACCTCCTCTCAGTGACGAACCCACACTCTCTCAGTATTACATGCCTTCTCCAGAACAGAAAGACCGGGAGCTGATTTTCATCACACTTGGTCTAGCCACAGACGTGTTGATTGCAAAACAATTAGACTAAAAAATATATTTATATGTATAAAATATATATGAAACGTGCACCGTATAATTGCAAGTACATGCTTCTGAGAAGAAACGAAACCTGTGGCAGGAAATGCACCTCCGGATATTGCGGCATACACATGATGTCCATCCGAAAAGGTTTAAAGAATTACACATGTGAAGTATGCAGCGTAGACATGAAATGTCATTATCGTCCTTGCAAAGCCCATGGAGCGGACATGGTACGAGGTCATCTCATCTACTTAACTAAAAGAGATTATCTCAACGAAGGCAACCGACTTCTTCGAATACAAATTTTAAAAATGTGATTTTACGTGCGCTTCATTTCAAAGAGAAGGCTGACAGAGTTACCTGCCCATAATAGAACAGTGAAAAAGTATGACACCAGCAACTACCGAAAGACCACCCGATGCACAACACCATCAACAAAAATTTGCTCGGCAAGATGAAGGACGAATATGCGGGCACGCTGATCGCCGAGTACATCAGCTTGAGACCCAAGATGTATTCCATCAAGAAAGCAGATGACAACGAAATCAGAAAGGCAAAAGGCGTGAAAAAACATGTGGTGAAAAAACACATCAAGCACGCCAGATTCAAGGAAGCCCTGTTCAAGAATAAACCATTCAAACACCAAATGAACATGTAGAAAAGCGGCGGACACAGGATATATGGGCTGAGAATCAACACGACTTTGCTGTCTCCCATGGACACAAAATGATGGATTGCCATCGACGGAGTCACCACTTACGCATACGGACACATGCACATATTAAATAATTAAAATGCACACAATACATACATGGGGAAAAGTTATTACAGCCCACACGGGTACTGGAAAGGTGCGGCCGCCATCCCGAAATTCGCCAAAGCCGCTTGAGTTTCCGAAGACATCGCTGAAGCTTGGCTTATAAAACAAGCTATCTGGCAAGTCTACCTCCCGGCACATTCGATACAGAATCGCGTTCATCAAGCCGAACTGCTGTTTTACACCTCACGACAAGGTGAGGAGTAAAACCTACAAGTACGTCCTGACAATCGTCGATGTCACCAGTCACTACAATGGAGCCAAACCATTGACGAGGAAAGATTCAAACAAAGTCGCCAAAGCCTTAGAACGCATATACAAACACAGTCGCTTGACCTGGCCTACCGTGTTGCAAATCAATCACGGACACAAGTTCATGGGAGCCGTATCGCAGCTGCTGGCCAAGCACAAAGTCAAGGTGAGACGAGGCATGGCCGGAGCTCACCATAGCCAAGCCATTGTAGAGAGATTCAATCTCACCTTAGCCAAACGCCTATACTCGCA